AAAAAAAAATAATCCAACTAAAAAGAGGGCACAAGAGGTGAATAGACATTTCTCAAGAGAAAACAAACAAATGACCAACAGGTATATGAATAAATGCTCAATTATCAGAGAAATGCAAGTCAAAACAACACTGAGATATCATCTCACCACAGTTAGTCTGGCTATTACCAAAAAGACAGAAAATAACTAATGTTGGTGAAGATGTGGAGAAAGGGCAACTCTTATACCCTGTTGGTGGGATTGTAAATTAATACAGTCATTATGGAAAATAGTGTGGTGGTTTCTTAAACAACTACAGATAGAACTATAATACTATCCAACAATCTTACTACTGGGTATATAGTCCAAGGAATGGAAATCATCATGTTGAAGAGATACCTGCACTCCCATGTCTACCACAGCTCTATTCACAATAGCCAAGATATGGAGCAAACCTAAACATCTATCAATGAATGAATGGATAAAGAAAATGTGATATACATATGCAATGGAATACTACTCATCCATAAAAGAAGAATCATCATTTGCAGCAGCATGGATAAGCTTGGAGAAAATTGTGTTAAGTGAAATAGGCCAGGCACAGAAAGAGAAATACCCCATGTTCTCACTCATAACAGGGAGCTAAAAAAAAAAATTAGATAAATAAATAAGTAAACAATAATAATAATAAGTTGAACTTTCAGAAGGAGAGAGCTGAATTGTGTTTAGGAGAGGTTGGAAAAGGGAAGGGGGGATAGTGAGAAGTTTGTTAATGGACATAAAACAGCTAGATAGAAAAAATATGTTCTATTAGTATACAGTCAAGGTAGGCATCTATAATTAACAATAATTTACTGCATGTTATCAAATTGCTAGAAGAGAAGAGAACAAATATCCTTATCACAAAGAAATGATTAAGTTTTGTAATGATGAATCTAATTGCCCGGATTTGATCATCATACATTGTATACATGTATTTAAATATAACTCTGTACCCCACAAATATGTATAATCAATGTTTCAAATAAATAAATAAAAGAAGCCACTCTACAAAGGCTACATCATACTATATGATCTCATCCATACAACATCCTGGAAAAGGCAAAAATATGGAGACAGTAAAAAGATTAGTGGTTGCTAAAAGTTTGTGGGAGGGAAGAAAAAATAGAGCACAGAGGAATTTTAGGGCAGTGAAACTACTCTGTATAATACTATAATGGTGAATACATATTACTATACATTTGTCCAAACCCATAGAATGTACAACACCGTGAGTGAACCCTAAGGTAAACTATGAACTCTGGATGATGATGTGTTAATGTAGGTTCATCAACTGTAAAAATGTTTCACTCTAGTGGCAGATGTTAAAAATGAGGAAGGCTATGCATGTGAGGGGGTGGGGGTGGATGGAAAATTTCTATACTTTCCACTCACTTTTGCTGTGAAATCTAAAATTGCTCCAAAGATAAAGTATTTTTAAAAAGAGTGGAGCCATAAAAAGATGCTAGAAAATTAAAGACAAAGGTATTGTAGCAGACCCCTGGTTCTTATTTGATACTCACCTTCCCTGAAATGCACATCCCATCCTTAACCACAGATGAGGAAAAGGCCTTGCTGAGATTTTTTGCATCAAGATCAAGAACCAGAAAGGACCTGTCTACAAATAATTCTTATAAAGTAATAGATTATTTGTACGTCCTTCACAAATGGTAACATAAAAGTTACTGAGATTAACAACAACAACAAAAAAACCATCTTTTGCAGATAGTGTCACTAGGAGCTATACATGTTATTTTGGGAAACATAGGAAATCCAAGAAAAGCTACATTGAGATATGCTGCTTCTGCCCCTGCTTTATATGTCTACTTTGTTTCACAAGTTTCTGTGTTCTTTGCTAAATAAATCAGGAGTTTACTTCGTGTGTGTGTGTGTGTGCGCGTGCGCACATTTGTGTGTGTGTGCGTGTGTGTGCGCACGCACACGCGCAGAGGAAGCAGGGAGTTTCTTCCTACCAATCCATAGCCTACCTGAAGTGAAACACTTACATAACCACAATGTCTATAAACTAAAATACCTCTACCTACCTCAATTTTACACTTGCGGTCTCCAGANTTTCACAAGTTTCTGTGTTCTTTGCTAAATAAATCAGGAGTTTACTTCGTGTGTGTGTGTGCGCGTGCGCGCGTTTGTGTGTGTGTGTGTGTGTGTGTGTGTGTGTGTGTGTGCGCACGCACACGCGCAGAGGAAGCAGGGAGTTTCTTCCTACCAATCCATAGCCTACCTGAAGTGAAACACTTACATAACCACAATGTCTATAAACTAAAATACCTCTACCTACCTCAATTTTACACTTGCGGTCTCCAGAATGCATCTTGCTTGTTCACACCTCTAATTCTTTAATTAAATTTCCTCCTCTGCCTGGACTGCACATACTTGCCTTCCCCTCACCTTTCTTACCCCAGGAACTCTCACTATCTCATTTCCAGAGAAGAGGGATCTAAACAGACATCATAGCAGGTGATCACAACAACAGTACTTACCACTGTGCCATATTTGTTTCTTCTTATGCCTATTTCTCTGCTGGACTGTGAGCCACTCAGGAACCAGAAGAATATTCTTCATCTTTACATCTCCAGGGTCTACAGTGTTTGTTAAAAATGTACACGTGTTTATTTAGAAATGGAATTTGACATCACAATAAAAATAGGACTAAGAGGCAGACATCAAAGATCTAACCCTTTTGGATGTCCTGCCTTTCTCCTCTCCCACCCCTTACAGTCCCCTGCCCCTCCCCCAACATATTTATTTAATTATTCATATTGCTTAATCTGGAAAAGTTTCTTGAAAAAGATCTTTTTTAAAGAAGGTAGAGCAGGAAGTGAAAAAAGAAAAGAAGCCCCATAGATGGGACTGGTTTCTCCAAATTGAGAAGCAAAACTAGTTCACTCACTTTTCCTTCTCATCCCCTGCAGTCCTATATCAAAGATCCATTGTTCTGTCTCCTTCAAAGTCTGTCCCAGAAGAGAATAAATTCAAATCCACCTGTAATTGTACAAGGCTTTATCCCCTGCAATAGAAGTGGTTTTTAGGAAGTGAAGAATAAGGTTGCCTTTGACACCTAACTCATGTGACTACCTTCACTTAAGGCCAGCACTAACCAAAGTTAGAAACCCCCAACCCCAGTTTTGAGTACAACTGCCTAAAGTTCATTTTTTCTGTCTTCTGTATACAGCAGGCATCTGATAAATGTCACTCTTGATGAATTCTGCTTACCTTCTAAAAGCAGGTGCCTGCTATTTTCATGGCCATTTTAGATCTTCAAGATAGGGGGGTGGTTGATTGGGGGTTACTCTAGAACTGAAATTAGGAAGAATATACAGATCTCATAGTAATGAAAGCACGTGCTACTCAAGAATGGCCTCGCAAGGTGACATTCCCAGGCTAAGTACCACTCTTTGGTATATTGTTCTCAGACACTGGGTTTCTCAGTTCCCCCAAACAATTAGGTCCTTAAACTTGCTTTGTTCTTTATTCCATTTTCTCAAGTCTGAGTAAACTGTTTACCTATCTAAGTGGATTACCCACAAAATAGTGTGGAGGCATCCATTACGTCCTAGGTGGGGTCTCCTACACTGATGGTGAGACAATGAAGGGCAAATTGATCTTCCCAAAGATACATGGCTGTAGAGGGGTAAAACTAACTGTTAAATTTATTTCTGTTCTAGAAGACTATGCTGAACTACATATAATTAAATGGTACAGATTTTATCATATTAGAATAAAACAAAGCCACATTATCTCAAAATTAGGGTTAGTTAGAACTTCTGTGTAATAAAATAATCTGTCGAGCAATTCTGGCTGTGAAGACCTATTAAGACCTAAGCTGGAATCCTAAAGCTAGCTTCTTACTAGTTGGGTGACATTGAGCAATTTCCTCATTCTCTAAAATGAGAGTACAATGAGACACAGTGGTTAGGTCTTCGAGTCAATGAATAAGAAGGGGAAAAAAATCCTAAGTCGAAATGACCTTTCAAAACCACTTGAACCACCCATAAATTCAGTATGTTTTACGTTTGTGTACAGAACACTACCCAGTAAGTCTTACAGACACTAAATTTTGAGGAACCACTGAGAAAAACTAAAGTATAGAAAGAAACAAGGCATTATAAAACTAGAATTACATAAGCATATGTCTAGACATTACAGCCATTCTAGTCTGTAACTCTAAAATCACTAACAGTGAATGGAGTGTTGTGGATGGAGAACACAACTCCAGCTGCTTAACAAATGTTAGTGTCCTTCCTTTCTCGTGCATTTTAGTCTACCACGAAGCCTTCCCAGCGCAGCCGTTTTAATGTGGTTATGCCCGAGACGTAGGTGTTGATCTATCCAGTGAGTACACTGAGGGAAGAATCTTGTGCCACGCATTTGGGGTTCTCATCCTGGCACTGGCACTTAAAAGCGCCTCAGTAAATATGAAAATGAGTTTTTATTTACCCCAGACTAGAGCTCGGACTACTACGACACCACGTAAATTTTCAAAAGCAAGTTCCTCACACACACCACTTCCTCGAAACCCTGGTCAGCCCTCAGCCCAGGAAATGCATAGCCTTTTCCTTTAGGCTTCCGTAGTATCGCTGGGCTTCGCGAGACTCGGGCCGATCGCCGCCGCGCCGCCGCTGGGGGCGGTGCGGAAACACTTCCGGGAGGAGACCACGTAAGTCACTCTGCTGTGTGGTTCCGGCGGCTTCCAACCTGCTTCCTCAGCCTTCCGGACCTCCGGGCCCAAGTAGTGGGCACGGAACAGGGGACTAGCAGCCCACTGGCCATAAGGCCCAGCAGTCTCTGGCCATGGACCGGGACCTTTTGCGGCAGTCGCTGAATTGCCACGGGCCGTCTTTGCTCTCCCTGCTCCGGAGCGAACAGCAGGACAACCCGCACTTCCGGAGCCTGCTGGGGTCGGTGGCCGATCCTGCCCGGGGCCTTCTGCACCAGCAGCAGTTACAGGGCAGGTAAAGAGACTGCTGCGCTGCTTTGAGGCTGGGGAGGGAACGCATCTCGAGGTTCCACTACCGCAGCCTAGCGCTGCGTCCAGGAACAACGGAGCCGCGGCCGTGAGCATGTGAGGACTGTCGCGCTGGTGCGGAGAGTTTGAGTGGAGGAGGGTCTGCGGGGAGGGTCTGCGCTCCTGGTGGTGTGCAGTGCGGGCAGTGGGCGAACTTTTCCTCTGGCACTGCCTAGCAGAGGCATGGACTCTAACTAAAAGCCCTGGGGCTTTCGTATCTGGTGTTGGAGGCATCACTTTTTAAGTTTAATCGCCCTCCATCTCCGGGTTGGCAAATGAGGGAATGCCTGGTTGAAACTTTTTCTCGGAGGAGTTCAGGGTGAAGCTGATTGGGCGATGAAAGCCATAAGCAGAAGCTTGGACGTAAAAGGTTTTGCAGATAAACCAATTTTTATCAATTTTGTTTCTTTTTAAGAAAAGAAAGGAGAGTTGACAACACGGAAATACAAAACTTTATCTCCAAAAAAGCAGATCTTCTTTTTGCGGTTTCCTGGAAATCAGATGCACCCGCACCTTTTGGAGTTCATGAAGACAATGAAGGTGAATTTAGTCTTAAAATCTTTTTTTTAAATTTTTTTTTATTTATTGGTGACTGGCTTGTACGAGGATCCGAACTCTTGACCTTGGTGTTGCAACACTCCTCTCTAGCCAACCGAGCTAACCAGCCAGTTCATTCGTCTTAAAATCTTTTTAAGATTGCTGTTTAACGTACTTCAGATGAAATGAACTCAAAACAATTGTTAGTGATTCTGTTATTTTTTTTATTTTTTATTTTTTCCAGATCATTATGCAGTCATGCCACCTTTAGAACAATTCATGGAAATACCTAGTATGGACCGGAGAGAGCTGTTTTTCAGAGATATTGAGCGTGGTGATATAGTGATTGGAAGAATTAGTTCCATTAGGGAATTTGGTTTTTTCATGGTCTTGATCTGCTTAGGAAGTGGCATCATGAGAGATATATCCCACTTAGAAATCACAGTAAGTTACTTTTCAGTTTGGATTGCTTCTGTTTCTTATATATTCATCTCAATACAAGAATTATGTCTTTGCATCCAGTTACACTTAAAGTATACTTAAGTATACTTGCTGAAATAAATAAGTATTAATTGAAAAAAACAAAGTAGCTTTTCTTTTAAAAAAATTATTAAAGAGTAACTTCACACCATTTCTTCCTCCATTTCTGGCTTTGGGGTTTCTTTTGAACTCTAGTAGGGATTGCCCTTTTTTAAATGCTCAAAAAGGTATCCATAGACATGGTGAGGTTGATTGGTAGTCTGCACTTATTTCTTCTAATTGAACATACATATTCTGGTTTTTTTGTTGCTTTTTTGTTGTTTTTGTTTTGTTTTGTTGGGTCGCTAGAGAGTACAAGGATCTGAATCCTTGACCTTCGTGTTACAAGGCCGCTAAAGGAGCTAACCCGGCCAGCACATATTCTTAATTATTCTTAGTGTTTGACATTAGATATGTGCATGTGGATAATTCAGAGAAAAATTCCTGATATTTATATATTTACAATAATTAAATGTATGTGATTTGTACATTATAAGATATTCTACCCAAAATGAATAGTCCTAAATTTGAGATAGTGTGTTGCTTTAAAAGATTTGAAATTTCCTGCCTATCCAGGCAGTTGAAAAGGAGGAAAAGCATAAGATATTAGACTAGATAAAGACATAAAAACCTTGGGATAATTACGTTTTATTTTCATTGGAATCCCTATACTTTCTGAACAAATTTTAGTGGTTTTTTGTGACAAATGCAAAATATCTTCTTGTTTCATAATCCATATTATATTCGGTTCCTAAAACTAATAGAAAGTTTCATGAGATTTTAGTTTTTGAATTGAACCAGAAAATATGTTTTGCTATTGTTTGGACACAAATTACTTGTAACTTAAATCCTTATTTTAAACTTTATGGTGGTGGTGATTTTTTAATGTTCATGTCAACTATTTGCTGTTCATACTGAAAAGCTAAAAGAAGACACTGTTCTCACCGAAAAATGAATATTTGGTGTTTTAAAATGCTCTCTCTCTCTCTCGAGACCATGGGTTCGGATCCTATATAGGGATGGCCGGTGCGCTCACTGGCTGAGCGAAGACACTGTTCTCACCGAAAAATGAATATTTGGTGTTTTAAAATGCTCTCTCTCTCTCTCTCTCTCTCTCTCTCTCTCTCTCGAGACCATGGGTTCGGATCCTATATAGGGATGGCCGGTGCGCTCACTGGCTGAGCCTGGGGCGGACCACACTGTGCCGAGGGTTGCGATACCCTTACCGGTCCAAAAAAAAAAAAAAATGCTCTCTCTCATTGCAGGCTCTTTGTCCACTAAGAGATGTGCCTTCTCACAGTAAACACGGGGATCCTTTATCATATTACCAAACTGGTGACATCATTCGAGGTGATCAGTTTCATCATACTAATAAAAAATAACAGTTGTTGAATTATTGCTTTTATAAAATTTAGTCTATAAGAGTAGTGTTTGGGAAGTGTTATATTTTTTATGTTAGTTTATATTTTCTTATTAATCAGCTTAGTTCTTTTTCTTTTTTTTTTTTAAAGCTGGAATCAAGGATATTGACAGATACCATGAAAAGCTTGCAGTATCTCTGTATAGCTCATCTCTTCCACCATACCTATCTGGTATTAAATTGGGTGTAATTAGCTCTGAAGAACTTCCTTTGTACTACAGGTAATATTCGTATTATTTCAACAACAGTTTGTTACAAATGTTTCTTGGATTAAAAAACAGCAAATTTTGTCAAGCTTCTGACAGAGTGGAGTTTTAATTTCTCTTATTACAAGATGTCTTCATAAACAAACTTCGCAAAAGGAACCATATAATATTGCCACCCCTTCATGTACAAAAATGGTGTTAGCATTTAAATCTCATGTGATGATGTTTATTAGAAATGGGATGTGCTAATTATATTACTCTTACATTTTTGTATATGTGTGTGTTTTTCTTTTTTTTAAGGAGG